CTGGCGAAGGCGCGTAGCCTGAGTCCCAGTTCAACTGTTGTTGAACTGTCAATTTTGATGGCGAAGGCGCATAGCCTTGACTTAATGACGAAGGCTCATAGCCTGAGTCCCAGTTCACCTGTTGTTGAACTTTGTCAATTTTGATGGCGAAGGCGCGTAGCCTGAGTCCCAGTTCAACTGTTGTTGAACTGTCAATTTTGATGGCGAAGGCTCATGGCCTGAGTCCCAGTTCAACTGTTGTTGAACTTTGTCAATTTTGATGGCGAAGGTGTATAGCCTGAGTCTTGGTTCAACCGCAGTTGACTTACTGGCGAAGGCGCATAGCCTGAATCCCAGTTCAACTGTTGTTGAACTTTGTCAATTTTGATGGCGAAGGCGCATAGCCTGAGTCTTGGTTCAACCGTAGTTGAACTTACTAGCGAAGGCGCATAGCCTGAATCTTGGTTCAACCGTAGTTGAACTTACTGGCGAAGGCGCTTGGCGAAGGCGCATAGCCTGAGTCCCAGTTCAACTGTTGTTGAACTTCGTCAATTTTGATGGCGAAGGCGCATAGCCTGAGTCTTGGTTCAACCGTAGTTGAACTTACTGGCGAAGGCGCATAGCCTGAATCTTGGTTCAACCGTAGTTGAACTTACTGGCGAAGGCGCTTGACCTTGATTTAATGGCGAAGGCGCATAGCCTGAGTCCCAGTTCAACTGTTGTTGAACTTCGTCAATTTTGATGGCGAAGGCGCATAGCCTGAGTCTTGGTTCAACCGTAGTTGAACTTACTTGTGAAGGCGCATAGCCTGAATCTTGGTTCAACCGTAGTTGAACTTACTGGCGAAGGCACGTAGCCTGAGTCCCAGTTCAACTGTTGAACTTACTGACGAAGGCGCGTAGCCTGAGTCCCAGTTCAACTGTTGTTGAACTGTCAATTTTGATGGCGAAGGCGCATAGCCTTGACTTAATGGCGAAGGCGCATAGCCTGGTCTTAGTTGTGGGTATTGAGTGCCGAAGCTCGGTTTTGATTCGAGACCTTGAGCAGCTTATGCGTTGTCCTCCCAATCGGAGTATATAGGCTGTCTTGAGGAGACTCTTGGCTCGAGATATCTCCGTGCCGGTTTCTGGCGGGAGCTCTTATCAGGGATGCGGTAGATGCCTTACAGAGATTCTCCCTTAGGAGGGGGGGGGGGCTTCTTCTTTTTGTTTGCACTATCTGAGATCGGAGAGAGAGAGGACTTGGATCTTTATTTGAGATCTTCGAGTTCCCCTACGAGTTTGGCGTTTCTTTCCTTTTGGTCCAGGGAAGAACTACGCGATTTTGCTAGGAAATCCCCACAGACGGTGCAAAATTGTTTGCTCAAAAGTTATCACATACCTTATGAGTATAAAATAATATAAATAAATCACGGGAAAATCATAGCAAACCGTAATAATCCGTTGGACCAAATGAAGGAAACGAAAATAAGTACTCAGGGTTAGGGGGAGAAACATTAGAAGCCTTTATTGATAATATTTGTTTGGTCTGCCTCTCCATGAAGAGGTTCAGAGCCTTACAATGGTGTTCCTCTTGCCCATAATATGGGTATCGTTGTCTCTTTTTTCTCTCGTCCATAGTGGCGAAGAAGAAGCCCCCTTTTTTCTAGGGTTTCCTCTCTTGGTATTTATAGCTGTGAGCTTCGTGAGCTGGCAATAAGTGGCCGTGACCACGTTGGGATTTCGCCTTCATGGTGGCGGATGGGCCGTGGCCTTGTTGCTCGAATCAGATGAGGGTTGAATATCGTTAATTCTGAGTGGTCGTACCACTAATTAATCATGAATTAGATTAAGACGGGATTAGCTTCGTTAATTATCGTGGGGTCGGATTCTGACCCATACATTAATTTTTAATTTTTCTTCTATTTCCCTTATTTTCTTCTCACCGACTGATAGAATTAGTAGGCAGGAGCCTGAGATAATGATGGGGAATAAGCACATATCATTCACTACACCTAAGATTGGTTCACTGATGAATGTGCAGACCAGTAAAGATCCTGACGGACTTCGTATCTTCTATTATCTTGTTCAGACCAGTAAAGATCTCTCCATTTCAAGATCAAACCCATTTAAGTCGTGATTTTGCCATGGACAATCCCTCAAACAAGAAAAAATTAAAGATGATATTCATTTTAATTTTTTGCAGAGAAGCTTTTAATGAAGAAAAATAATTGTCTATTTTGATTCTAAAGATAATATATTTTTGGGTATTTTTCAGCAGTTTTAATGGGGAAGGAGACAAAGGTTAGTAGGTATAGGAGATATTGTGATGTTTAGGAAGCCAGACCATTGGTTTATTTGAGGTATTTTTTTCGAGCATAAATCCACCATTGTTGTGCAGTGAAGAGCTTCAAAGCCTCTAATGGAGATGGAAAAAAATGGGACAGATATGTTTATCTTGGGTGTGTTCGAATCCGAATCTAACAGGAAGAAACGCAGCTGTGAAGACTTCGTACAATTAACTTCTGTATTCATCAGACACAGAGCAAGAACAAAGCATATACGATTGTCATCAAATTCTCCGGCAAATCACAAAATGGAGGGTTGGGATCCGAATACGAAATCAACCCTCACGCAGATCCCGTTGTTGACCACCAAAGTCGGTCCACGCGACGGGGAGGAGGGACTGGTTGGGTTCGTTTGGTCGTTGCTGTGGGTTATGGGTGACGCCTTATTTCTGGTCGTTGGGGATGGTGCGAAGATACATGAGTGGTGTGTAGAAGACGAGATCCGGGAGGGGGGGGGGGGGGCACTATGTCCACGTAAGATAACCACCGCCACAAAAGCATAGTCAATGGTCAAAGGTGTTTATTTGTTATAGGTTTCACGAGTTTGAGTGTCTAAATGGTAAAGACTAAAGCTTGTGTATCGGCTTTCAAAAGCCCTACAAGTTTAAGTGGCTAGGAAGCCATTTCCCCTTTTTTAAATAACGAACAAAGAGCTAATTTGGTTTTGCTCATCTTAATTTCTATTTTATCTTAGGGTTTGGGAGATGTATCATCTAAAACTAAATAAATCGGCAAAAGATCAGATCCGGAGAAAAAACTCCTATGCAATGAAAATCAAAATGTGGGTTGAATACTCCCCATCCTCTCTTTAGGTGACTATTAAAGGACGAAGGTTTTTATCTGTAAATGCAATGAGCAAAACTCAAACTCAAATTCATGATTGAGTTCTCCTGTAGAGTTAATTTACTTATTCATATTTACTTAAATAAAAAAGAACCCTCTAGCTCTCGTATAGATATGGCACTTGGT